CACACTGCGCGAAGAAAGTCTTGCTGTTCTGCCATTAAAAGGGTCCACAAGAGGTGAGGATTTATTCAAGTCTTTCATGGAGTTTGCTCAAGAAAAAAGTCTACCTATGGATAAACTTCTCTCAGTGTGTACTGATGGTGCTCCGTGTATGGTGGGGAAAAACAAAGGATTTGTGGCGCTTCTCCGTGAACATGAAAATAGACCCATCCTAAGTTTCCATTGCATTATACACCAGGAGGCACTTTGTGCTCAGATGTGTGACAGGCAGTTTGGCGAAGTGATGTCGCTGGTCATTCGTGTGATCAACTTAATTGTTGCCCGAGCCTTAAATGATCGCCAGTTTAAAACACTGCTGGATGAAGTTGTAAATAACTATCCTGGTCTGCTTTTGCACAGCAATGTGCGTTGGTTGTCAAGAGGGAAGGTGCTTAGCCGTTTTGCGGCTTGCCTGAACGAAATCCGGACTTTCCTTGAAATGAAAGGCGTCGGGCATCCTGAGCTAGCCGACACCGAGTGGCTCCTCAAGTTTTACTATCTCGTAGATCTGACTGAACATCTGAACCAGCTCAACGTGAAAATGCAAGGCATTGGAAATACAGTGTTATCCCTTCAACAAGCTGTATTTGCTTTTGAAAACAAGCTGGAGCTTTTCATCACGGATCTTGAAACAGGTCGTTTACTACATTTTGAAAAACTGAGCCAATTTAAAGATGCATGCACAGCAAGTGAGCCCATTCAAAACCTTGATCTCCACCAGCTAGCTGGCTGCACATCCAGTCTCCTACAGTCCTTCAAAGCACGCTTTGGAGAATTTCGTGAGCACACTCGTCTTTTTAAGTTCATCACCCATCCAAACGAGTGTTCACTGAACACAGCCGACCTGAATTACATCCCTGGTGTCTCCGTCAGAGATTTTGAAGCAGAAGTGGCTGACCTGAAGGCCTCAGACATGTGGGTGAATAAGTTCAAGTCACTGAATGAAGATTTGGAAAGAATCACACGACAGAAAGCGGAGTTGGCGAGCAAGCACATGTGGACAGAAATGAAAAAACTCCAACCCGAAGACCAGCTGATTCTCAAAACTTGGAGCGCGCTTCCTGTCACATACCACACACTGCAGCGTGTGAGTATTGCTGTATTGACCATGTTTGGATCTACGTATGCATGTGAGCAGTCATTCTCACATCTTAAAAACATCAAGTCCAACCTACGATCACGTTTAATGGATGAAAGCCTCAACGCTTGCATGAAGCTTAACCTCACCAAGTACCAACCCGACTACAAAGACATCAGCAAATCCATGCAGCACCAGAAGTCGCATTAATGGTGAGTGTTATAACAACATTATTTAAAAGAATAAATTCAGAGGCTTATTATACTGACATTTAGTTGAATTCACTTTTAAAATATATTATATGGCTCTCACTGAAATAAATTTCCAAATTTTTTGCTTTCATGGCTCTCTTAGTCAAAAAGGTTCCCAACCCCTGCTATAGACAGTATCCCACCGCTGCCACCAGTGTAAATAAGCTCCTTGGAGATGTCCATTCTTAATAAGGTGAAGTTTTTACTTCTAAAGCAGTGGTTCTTAACCTTGTTGGAGGTACCGAACCCCACCAGTTTCATATGCGCATTCACCGAACCCCTCTTTAGTGAAAAATAAAATGTGATTTTTTTCAAATTCAAGACATAGATATGTTTTTTACTGGTACACAAAATGAGCCGTGCATGAACATTACCTTGTTCAAAGAATAAAACCAACACAATGCATAAACTCACAACAAATTACATACCTGGAAATCAATGTGACTTCTGCTGTTGCCTTTGAGAGATCAGTTCAGATATGCGTGGCTTCACCTTGGCAAGTGCCACTCTCATGTCATTTTCACAGCAAAGTCTGTTCCTTTTCTTCGTTTTTATGTCCAGCATCCTCGAAAAGGATTGCTCACAAAGATATGTTGTAACAAATGGTATAAAAAAATCCAGGGCTTTCTTAGCAATAACTGGATACTTGTTCATTTGTCGACACCAAAACGTTGAGAGCGTTGTTGTTCTGAAGAGTTGCTGTTGAACCTGGCTCTGCTGAATTTAAATGATTTCGTCGAGGAATTCATCATTGACATCTGCTGTTTCAACAGCAAACGTGAACGGCTGTCTCACCCATGCTGGATATGACTCTCTTGTAGGGAAATATCCGTCGAGAGACTTTGCAAGCTCATCTAAGTGCGTGGCAATTGTTTGCTTCAGTTCCGTGGATACAGAAATATCTCCGATTCCAGACACATCTTCGATCTTACTTGCACAGTCGTCCAGAAGCGGGAAGTTTGCGAAGTTATTGTTCTCTGTTCGTCGTTTCCATAACGGTAGCTTTTTTTGAAAAGCCTTCAGGTGTTCTTCCGCTTCCATGATATTGACTCCACCACCCTGCATCTGCTGATTGAGATGATTGAGAGCTGCGAATATATCAGCCATGTACGCTAAAATGAGAATGAACTCAGGATTTTTGAAGCAATCTGCATGGCAGTGTTGGTGCTCTTGCAAAAACAGGGCTAATTCCACACGCATGGCAAAAACACGATTCAGCACCTGTCCCCGGGATAACCACCGAATATTAGAATGGAGCAGAAGTACCTCAAATTCAGAGCCCATTTCTTTACACAGCTCACTGAAGATGCGGTGCCTCAGAGCACTTTTTCGCACATAGTTCACACATTCCACCACAGTTTTTAATACTTCTGCCATTTTTGGAGGTAAGGTTTTTGTTGCCAACGCATGCCTGTGCAGAATACAATGCGTCACAATGATGTGTGGTGCATCGGCCTTTACTAGCGCACCAAAACCAGACTTTCTTCCCAGCATGACTGGAGCTCCGTCCGTACAAACTGCAGAAACCATATCCCATGAAAGATTGTTGTCTCTGAAGAAGTCATCCACAAGCTTCTTCACATCGGCTGCCTTCGTTGTTGTTGTAAGAGGCTTACAAAATAAAAACTCTTCTTTTATCATGTCGTCTTTCACATAGCGTACAAAAACAGCAAGCTGGCTTAGATCAGAAACGTCTGTGGTTTCGTCGAGTTGAAGGCTGAATTTTGCCGGGCTTGAAATCAGATCCGCGACTACTTGAGCCAAGATGTCTTTACTCATGTCTTCTATTCTGTCACTGACGGTGTCATTTGAAAGGGGAATTTGGGATAATTTACCTTCGGCCGCTGTTCCGAGTATCAGATTCGCCATCTTTAATGCAGCTGGTTTCACAAGTGTTTCACCAATGGTGTGTGGCTTGCCCTGCTTTGCGATCAGGTAAGCAACTTCGTACGATGCTGTCAGGATCGGTTTGTTAACAGGTACAAATCCAAGAGCAGGCAGAGTGGCCCTTTCATCGAATCTGGCTCTCTTCACCCTGAATTCAGCAAGTGTTGTGTTCTTGTATTCCCCGTCTCCATGCAGCTTCAAGAAGTGTTCCTTTAGTTTTGCCGGTGCAAGACTAGAGTTGCTCAACTTGGCGTTGCAAATCATGCAGATAGGACGCTCACTCCCATCACGTTCCGTGATACATGAGAATCCATGTTGTACATATTCGTCCGACCACTTTCTTCTTTTGCCCGACATAGTTAGTATGGATAAAATATTAAAGAAATCACACGACGTACGACAACAACAGTCACACGTTGACTACTGAGTACGCACTAAATTCCCCACAGCGCTGATTGGCCAAGCAGTGTAGCATGATCATCTGCAGCCAGTGATGGCCAAGCGGGCCGTGTGTGTCATCACAAATTTACACAATAATTCAAGTGTGTCCGGACCTCCGTGGCGGGGGCTCTGCCGACCCCCTGAGATCGACTCACCGAACCCCTGGGGTTCGATCGAACCCAGGTTAAGAACCACTGTTATAAAGAATAATGTATTTACAATATAGTTTTTTTTGGGTTAGATCGCATAAATATAAATGTGTCGTTAAACGCGCCACCACCTGACACAGCCAACTAGTAAGGTTTGTCACGTAAACAGAACGTGCCAATTCATTACTAGTACAGCACACCGGTGTGTTGGAGAGTAAATCCACAACATTTACAATCTGAGTACGACGTTTCGCCAGTAATTACAACTAGCATCATCAGGCGGACATCTGTCCGCCTGATGATGCTGTTATGGATGATATTGGTCACGAAAGCCTACGTGTTTAACTAACGTATTTACAACTCCACGATCAGTCAGCCCCAATGTCTTCTACCTCGTAGCTCATTGGTCCCTGGGCAAGCGCTCAGACTGTGGCCCTCACTCCACTTATTTAACCTTTCGGCCCAGCCCTTTCAGAGAGTGCCCTCGACCCCACGATAGCACGTTTCTTCAGTTATTATCTCATCGTGTATATCTCGCTGTCCTCTGTACGGTGCCTGTCGGCCACCTATTTCCAATCATCTCAACGTATATTATTTATTTAATCATCTATACACCTGTTCTTAATTATCTGAACGTGTACCCTCTAACGCTTTCTCCTTTCAGTAACCTGCACTTTATTGAATGTAGAAAATAATTGTAAGCAATCTACAAACGTAATAACAAATGTCTGTTGTGACGGACATCAGCATTTATCACGTGAACACGGAGCATGATAAATATACCGCCTTGCTGTCCAATATTGCAAGTCAGCACTACATCTGTATTCTGAATGTTCTCTGCATGTGTTTAAACCTTTGGCTTCCACCCCATTGTTCATATTTACAGGACATCATCCCTTCAAGGAAGTTACACTTTTAGTCCAGTTACTATTTCCTGTATAAGTTAAATATTGATTGACTGATCAAGTAACTCCATCACTCCGTAAAGAACAATGTGAGCTTCTGAAGTCAATTCGTTATTATTTATTCTGGTTGGGTGTTGACGTAGCCCATCATCCCTCCCCTGAGGGGTTTTTGACTAAACGAGCAACAATTTGTGAGATCAACAGTGCTCGTGCTATGGATAGACTCGCCATAGAACTGCGGAATGTCCACCAGCTCCTGAAGCGGATGATGTGAACGCGGCCACGTTTGAAGGGAAGACGCCGCTGCTCCTGGCGGCAGCTGCCGGTCACCTGGGTAGCGTCGATCTGCTGCTGCGGGCCGGAGCGGAGCCCAGCCGCGCTTCCAGCGAAGAGGAGACGCCCGTGTTTGCAGGTGATCAGAGAGATAGATCACAGTAATTTAATGATAAACTAGTCATAAAACTATGTAAAGCTGATGCTATGGGTCCCGTAGTAACATGCGTGTAAGGAAGTTATTTACAAAAAAACTTCTAAGATAATATATTTCGGGTCTTTTGCCGAAGTAACGTAGATAGAACAATTAAATAATGAAAATAAATGAATAATACAAATATTACGACGTTTCGATCACGTTGCGTCGATTGCTTGTGTTCCCTTCGAAACGTCGTCATATTTTTATTATTTTGTATTCACTTTATTTTTATTATTTTATTGTTCTATCTACGTGACTTTACCGAAAGACTCAAAGAATATGAATTCCTGCAGTCACGAAAGCTTTAAGTCAAGTGCTAAGAGAATGTTATGGGTCTGACATTCAGGCTCAAAAGTTTGTAAATTCTGATTCACGGGTCCCAGCTCCCACTCATTACGCTTTCTCCTTACATCACACACTCAATACGATTTGGTTTCCTGTTATATTATCCTGCACCATTTTGTGGAATGGATAATCTTACAATTCTTAAAGACAGAGTTATTCTCCATAAGAGGATTACAAAACCCTGGCCCATAAGAAACACCAATGGGCATGGTTTGTTCGATAAAAATGTTGTCTGTTAAATAACTTTTTTATTTTAAGAATCAATTGACTAGAATTGAAGTTTCCCTTGGACTTGACACAAATTGTACTGTAGTCGCCAATATAATTTGCCCACATCTTTTTTAACATGTAATATTTAAATTATAAATGTTAGTTGTAGAGCTCCAGGGCCTGACGACCAGGATTTGTGCCATTCCTGATCCCTAAGGGATTTACGGAAGGGTAATGAGTACATTTCCATAAGATCATCTGCTCCGTCAGGGCCAGCCTTAAGTCCACTTACGTTCACACGTGCGCTTCTACAAATACAAGCACGCACAGACACACATCCACGTGCAGATACACATAATCACAAATACCCACATAATCACATACTCACCAACACACACTCAAAAACACACTTAAATCACAAACACACGTACACAATTACAGACAAATGCTCCCCCCCTCACAGACACGCACTGTCGCAAATAGACAAACATCCCCCATATAGCCTAATCAGGCCCGAAGAGCACACAACAGATACACACACACATCTTTGGGACCCTTTTTGCCAGTATCAAGATGATTAAAAAAATAATAGGCTTTATCCTATTTTGGCAAGAATTACAGGTTTTAAGATATTTAAACACCAAAGAGATACCTATCACAAGGCATCAAGTCTGCATTGTGGTAAAACATGCAACCAAACATGCGTTGATAATGTAAACATTCTTGATTTGAAGCTTTCGGGACTGCAGGAATCCATACTCTTTGGTTCTTTCGGTAAAGTCACGTAGGTATAAAATCAAATAAATCACGACGTTTCGGGCGCAACACAAGCGTCCGGCCTCCACCAGAGATCAGTCTCCTTTATGGCCTTGTCTCACCAGTGTTAGACCAGAGAATACCAAAAGACTAACGACACAAAGGCAATGCAAATTCACTTTATGCGGCAATTTTCAGAAACGCAACCCCCGCGTTAAACGAGAACTTGCTCCATATATAATTTTTTTACACATTTGCTGAGCACAGGCCCAAACGCTTGAAACGTTACACAACCAGGAACAAACAGCACTGTCCAAGTTTTAATAGATAAGCGAGGTTACAAGAGTTTTAGGAAAGGAGATGTTGGGAGAGAATTCCAAAGTGGACCAATGCGAGGGAAGAAGCAGAAAGAGAAGTGTTGTGACCTGCAATGTGGTGAGTGAGTGGGTGAGTGAGTTGTCGTGACCTTCAGTGAGTGAGTGGTGAGTGGTTGAGTGATTTGTAGTGATGTGGTGGTTGAACACTAAATGAGATGAGGTATTAAGGAGATTCTGTGACAATTTAGCAGGTAAAGCAGTCAATACACCTGCTTAAGCATGCATATATAGGACTGATTGGACCTCACATTCTCAGTGGTAGAATGTAAGTAAACATTAAAGCAGTAGCAACTGTTTGACTATATGAGGAATGGAGAGGCCACACATGTTGACACGTAGAGAGAAAATGAAAGTGGGCATATACTGAGTACCTGTCGTGGTGGTTGATTTGCAGTGGATGAGATGAAACTGTGGTAGTGCTGTGCATGCATATTAAAGTAAATGATGCACGTTATATTGTCGTACAGGGCACAATGCAATAATATTGTAATACAGCGTTGAATGTTTATTTGCTGCGCAGCCATTGGTGGAGGCCACGTTGCTGTGGTGAAGGCTCTGCTGAGGAATGGGGCCAAGGTGAATGGGCCTCAGTACTGGACAGGGTGGACATCTCTCCACCAGGCCACGTGGAAGGTGTGAGGACTGTTTTAAGCATGACATTCATAGTTTTCACTCTTCCAATTGTTAAAATCCAAATGTTTACCAAAACATCGCTTAACACTGATGAGTCCCCATTATGTTGGGTAGAGTTGCCACTTGTGAAGGCAATTTCTAGACCACAAGAAGCACTATTGTGACCATAGCTGTCATTGCCTCCTGCTGCCTTTACATTGATAACCCTTCCTTGTCACTCGTATATAGATACTATCGTAGTTACCGTTTCATCTCATCCTTACTGTGTTCACACTGCAGGTCACAACAACACACTCGCCCCTCACTCACACGCTCATTCACCCACTCAACCCACTCACTCTCTTACCCACAATGCAGGTCACCTCACATCCTTTTGTGCTTCTTCCCGCGCACTGATCCACTTGGAAATTTCCTCCCATGATCTCTTTTCCCAACCTAAAACTAAACTATTTTTTATTTTACTGGGTACGGCCCACTGAGCTGTTTAGCTCTTTTTCTAAATCAACCTGGCCACAAATGATAGCTCAATAAAGTTGGTTATCATGTGGTAAATGATAGCAGTCAAATACTCTTGAACGCATCTTTCTAAATGTGGAGGGAAAAATCAGAGGACCCGGAGAGAGATCCACACAACCACGGGGAGAACATGAAAACTCCAAATATACAGGCGTCAGGGTGGGGATCAAACCCACGACCTCTGGCATACCAGGCGAGGGAGTAAACATCTTGCCACCGTGGCTGTTGTAATCACCTTGCTCAACTCAAGACTCGTGTTAACTTGTTTCTATTGTAATTGTGAAGTGATATTATGTGCTGGCCACTTGGCATTTTGGGCCTGTGTTCAGAAACTGATCAAATAATATATGTCATCATCCACTGTTGGATGAAGGCTTAGCATTGTCGCCACCTCTGATGATCCTGCGATGTAACAATCCACTCGCACCTCCACGTGGGCTTATTTAATCTTTTCTGATTTTGTCTTTGCAATAGACGTCTCGATTTCTTTTTCGAACCCCCTTGTACATGGCCTTTGTTTTGCTCTTGTTTATCCTGAGTGCAACTCTGCAGCCTTCTCTGTTGAGTTCTTCTGGAGATAAATCACATTGGACGTTAAAATGACTGTGTCGTCTAAATCAGAGATGGTGAATGTTTTTCTTCCCTTGATATTTATAGCTTTCACACTCGTTGGTTCTTTCGGTAAAGTCACGTAGATAAGAAAATAAATAATAGATCATTATGTTTCGATCGCAACAACAAGCAATCGTTTTCAGGTGAGAGAGAGAAGCATTCCGTTGTGACGAGGCATTATATAGATCCGAGAGGGGGCAGGGAGGGGTGGCCGTAACAGGCGAGAGGGTGGGGGTGAAATTCAAAGAGGGTTGAGAGATAGATCCGAATTTCACCCCCACCCTCTCGCCCATTACGGCCTGCCCTTCCTCCCCCGTCTCGGATCTTTATAATGCCTCATCACAACGGCATGCTCCTCTCTCTCACCTGAAGATGATTGCTTGTTGTTGCGATCGAAACGTCGTGATCTATTATTTATTTTTCTATCTATGTGACTTTACCGAAAGAACCGAAGAGTATGAATTCCTGCAGTCACTAAAGCTTCAAATCAAGATTTATAGCTTTGTTTTTCCAAATTATCTTCTCATGCCCTGTAAATAACTTTGGCAAAAGCACGTCACTTTGATCGACTCCCGGTTTAACATGTATTTTGGTCCTTTCTTCATTAGTGTTACTATGAAACTACATCTAACTTGCAGTCTGACTGCTGATGAGACATGGAATGCCCAAAATGTCCCAGAGTGTGGTTATGTTGAATGAAGGCATTGACATATTGCATTTCAAGAAAGTCTTGTGGCTAATGGGATGTATGTTAAGAACACTTATTTTCATGTAGAGGGACAGATATGGGAAGGAGGCCTCTAGTCTGCCTATTATGTTTTTTGCTCGTTGAAATTGGTAAAAGAGTCAAATTGTCGAGTTAGCTGGACAAACAAACATGCATACATGAAAGCTTCATTGAATCTCAAGATTATTTTTCAAAATGATCCTGTCGAGTTTTGCAGTAGTGGGAAGCATTAATGTATGTGTGATGCTAATTGAGTAATTTCCAGGAAATGTTTCAGAATTTGGGATGTTGGACCAATACCAATAACTTTATTCTTTGGTTCTTTCGGTAAAGTCACGTAGGTAGAAAAATTAATAGATCACGACGGTTCGATCACAACACAAACAACCGTCATCAGCTGTGAAACAAACACAGCAGGAGGACTGCTGACGTCAGAGAAAGAGCTGCTGCAACAAGAGTTTATATAGGATTTTGGTGGGCCCAACCCAAGGGTAAGTGGGCGGAGCTAGAGAAGGAATTTGTACGTGAACCTTGATTTGAAGCTGTAAATGTGAGAGATTAGCATGTCAATGTGAGACGGCCCAGCCACCGGAGGTGTGCCAATGAGAAGATTAGCATGTCAATGTCAGACAGCCGGGCAACAGGAACAAAAAAAAGAGTATGGATTCCTGCAGTCACGAAAGCTTCAAATCAAGATTGAACCAATTACTTTGTGTTTTTTAGAGTGCAACGTATTGGAACTAAATTCATTCTCAGATTTCTCCTCAGCTGGATTGCTCATCATCTGTTTAATCCTGTCATCCGCAGGGCCATGTGGAGCTGTTGCAGTTGCTGCTGGAACGTGGGGCACGTGTCGAGGCTCGGGACGACTATGGCATCACACCCCTCTTCCTGGCAGCCCAATATGGACAGGCTCCCTGTCTCAGGATTCTCTTGCAGCACAGTAAGCTCACCTCGGACTATGCCAACAGCACATCAAACACTTTACACAAACACAAAATGTAGCCACATTTTTTTTTATGTTGCTCTGTCTCACAGAATTTGGCTTTCCACCTTCCCATGGAGTAAACCTGGATATATTTATCAATCAGTGTAGGCTTATTAAAACTATCAAAACTTAAATGTATTGTAATAAAGTTCAAGGCAATGCCGGTACAAGATCTCGGTACAAATCAATTCCTGCCACCCAAACACAGATGCCAATTCCCAGCCTTTCCTTGTCTAACCTTGATAGGTAGCTACTCTCTTAACAGCAACGATAGCTCTGCTAAATGTATCCTGTAATATATCACTGTGGAGGCAAGTTTTGGTGGATCGCACGTACACACTCATGACACTCCCTTCCTGCCCATGGGCTTCGATATCGGCATCTGCTGGCTTGCCAGGGAACAGCAGTACAGTCTTTTGCAGACCACCGGTTGGGATCCACTGCCTCGTGTGGTGAGATATCCGGCGCTCACTACTGAAGTCGTGATGTACGCCATCCTGCATCATTTGTGCACGCAGGCCCTGATGTGAATGCAAAATCCAAGGACTGGGCGACTCCACTTTTCATTGCGGCGCAGGAGGGCCACACCGAGTGCCTGCGGCTGCTGCTGGACAATGGAGCCCAGCCCGGCCTCCCCTGCAACGAGGACGGCTGGCAGCTGCCCCTCCACGCCGCTGCTCAACGCGGACATGTCCAGTGCGTATGGCAGGTGTATGGGCATTGGCCGGAGAGGCTAGATAGAGACTCGACTCGAGAATTGTAAACAAGGTCTGCACCGATTACAAGGTTGCTACTTTATTGGCCAACCAGGTGGCTCAACGGTGGAGTGATGAATAAGTTAGGCATAGATGATTGGACATCTGTTAAAAAGAGCTTATTATCTCGTTGAATTCCTCCAGTATAAATAAATATTCTGGTTCTGATGGTACTTACTGATAAACAGTGACTATGATTAAGTAATAAACAGTCAAGTCAGAGTGATTTTATGCTTATAAATGAGCATTGAGGTGATGCTAATCTTTTTATAACTCTGAGCCAGTGGAGGAAATTACGTATTTCTATAGTGGGAACAAGTCTCTCTATAGGAAAGCCACTGTTTATTTCCCCAAAAAGTTCCACTTATTTCATTGAACAAACCCCACATACAGGATTTTAACTCATGCCCTTCCAATTGTGAGCCATTCACTCTTCTGCTGTGCCACCCGGTCTGCTTATCTGACGTGTCAGCAGAATGAATATGTATTTGCAGTGTAATGAGTCCACCAGACGAAGGTTGAGATGACACACTCCTCTTTATTCTATACGAGCTCACCCTGCGTGTGACCACTCCACTCCAAATCCCACCAGGAAGCGCTCCGTTCTCCCTGCCTCATCCGGTGACGTCACCACTCCCCTCCTGAGCGTTCCCTCTCTCTCATGCCCTGCCTTCTCTTTTCTTTTGTCCGTGACGTCATCTTTAACAATAACCTAGGTCCCTTGGCTATTTCTATCCCCGGATTGCTTAAGTATTAACACGACAGTAGCAAAGTGTAATTTTAACCCTCGATAAGGCCGCACATCTCTCTCCTGGCTACAGAGTTGAATCTACATGTTCTGGTCTGCTCAGGTTGGTGAGCTTGTTGCTGCCGATGACGGACGGCGGTTGCGGGTGGCAGCCGGGAGCCGTGAGCCCTGTGTATTCGGCCACGCACGGAGGGAGTGGAGGTTGCCTGCGCTCCTTGCTTGAGGCCGGGTACAGCCCGGACGCACAGCGCTGCCCGCTGCTGGGGCTCGAGTCTCCGCTGCATCTGGCGATCTCCAGCGGGTACGCATCTCCCACGCGTCTCCCACGCGCTCCCTGCCACTATCCTGGCAATAATCTGATCATTCCCAGTGATGGTGCTTGTGTAGGCACCCTGTGGATAGCCACCTGTCCGGCATTGACCCGGACAGGTGGCACTGAGAATTGGCATACGTCAACGAATTGGCAGCTGTGTTTCGGGTGGCAAGAACTAATTTGTACTGAGATCTGGTACCGGTATTGTGATGAACTTCATATCAGGACACGGAATGGTTCTGATAGAGCTAGACCGATTGAGAAAAATATCCAGATTTGCCCTGGTGTTCCTCCAAACACTAAACTTTGTACGTAGTGGGAGCGATGGCGCAGTGGTTACCGTGCTGCATTGCAAACTTGGCGGCTTGAGTTTGATTCCCTCTCATGGACAATAACAGTGATGAATATCTGAACTGGTCCTGGGAATCCAGGACAAACTCAGCCTTTGGTGCTGTGTGCAAACATCGCCAATGGGAAGACATATGCGGGAAACCAGGTTTCCAGCCACACCACCTACTTGTTTCATTTTGGCATTCATAGATGCTTAACAGCTTTTGCTCCCACAATCTGAAAAGGTCTACAGGTAATCTTTCTCTGTCTTTGTTCCTCCAAACTCCTAATGTTGTGCCTACAAAGACAGCTGTTATTTCTGTTTTTTGTTGGCCGAAGGTCCTTACCTGGTTTTAAACATAATGAGTACTTAAAGTGAGGGGCGCCACGGTGGTGAGATGTTATCTCCCTCACCTGGTATGCAGGAGGGTTCGATCCCGACCCTGAACGCCTATATATTTGGAGTTTGCATGTCTCTCTTCCAGTGTTCATGTAGATTTCTCTCCGGTTCCTCCGGTTTTTACCTCCATATTTAGAAACGTGTTTAAAGTATTTGGCTGCTATTAATTTCTACACTCTGATAAGCCACTTCGTCGAGCTATCAGTTGTGGCCAGGTCGCTTCTGAAAAGGAGCCATATAGCTCAGTGGGCCTTACCTGGTAAAATAGAAAAAAATATTGTTTTGTTTAAATAGTTTATAGTTTAATAGTTTTAGTTATGTGTTTGCCTTCAGCATAAAGGGCATTCTGTTAAAATACTATTATAAACCCTATATTATTGCATCACTTCTAAATAATTTAAAACTAATTCTCGAGACACTGATAACTTCCAATAGTTTACATTTATTACAATAATATTTGAATAAAAAACAGCTCGATCTGTTCACGCCATTCTCCCTCTGCTGTCTACATGCACACTGTCAGCACTTGAGACAATGCATCACTGATTTCATTGACCTGATAAAAGCCTTTGACACAGATGCCCACAGCATCTTACATTCGAGATTACTCCTCTGTGAAATTTGCTCAACCGTTGAGCCTCATATCCCATTACAGGAATCTCCTGCTATATGTAGGGGATGCATTATTGGAAATTGCTACTTAACCTCTAATATTCACAGAGACATAATGTTAAAATCAGGGGTTGCATTCCAAGCCAACATTTCCAGAAAAAAGTTGCTCAACTAAATTTCATGAAGTACGTAAAAATGCATATGATTATAAGTTAACATACATTTGAACTCATGATAAATATAATCGATGAAATAGCACTTAGATATGATTTAAGAGCTTGCTGATCAAGGCCTTTTGGGGTGAGCTTTGGTCGAGTTATGCAGAAGCAGAAGGGGCATGATCACCCGCCTCTTCATCTGATGATAAAGCTGGAGCCACAAGAATGTTCACCAGTGAAAGCTGCCTCTCCTTTCTGAACCTTCTGGCGTGATTGTCAAATGTTTAAAACAACTCCTACCAAATAAATACAAGCCTCTGCCAATACATTTGATCATCAATTATATATCCGGCGCGCGATTAACCGGTGGTTCCGGGCCGATCCTGCGAAAACAGCAAAACCACTTAAAAGGCTGTGTAACTAGTCCAGCGATCGGCACCATGTGCATGACAAGAAAATGTAGCTATGCTTGAATTCAGTGTTGAATGTTATAGACAGTATATTATGCATTACATACAACTTAAACAATTAATATACCGCACATAAATCTTGACTTAAAGCTTTTGTGACTGCAGGAATTCATATTCTTGGGTCTTTCGGTAAAGTCACGTAGATAGGTTCAAATAACATAGCAAAAAATAACAAAAAACCATGACGTTTCGATCACAATACAAGCGGTCGTCTAACAGGAAAAGGGGGGTTAGCTTCCAAGGCAAACTGTTTATAAGGGTTTGAAATGGGCGTAGCCCAAATGTCAGCAGTCAATGATAATGTAAGTGGTGGGCAGCCAGCCCGACGGTGGTTGGTTTTCCACCAATCAAAGGGCTGCCAGGTGAAAATTAGCATGTTTAAGAGAGATGAGCATGTTATCGTAGAGCCACAGTCAAGGGGTCGGCGTGCGAAGTGACTGTGAAAGCGTAAGTTTGAAATGGGCATAAAGCATAACTAACATCGGAAGGTGGTAGGATTGGAACATCATAGCCAATTATGACTTAAACTGGTTGATAACGTCCCTACAATGATTTCTCAGTTTGTACCCATCTTCTCGGTTGAAATTGTGTCTGTCTATATATATGGATGGCTTCATGAACGAATCTTTGTTGATAGCCAGTGTTCAGTGTTATAATATGTGTTACGGTTCAACATAAAAGGGAAGTATTGTTAAACTCTAAAATAAGAGGAAATATACATTTGCTGAACCCAAATAGTTCCGTGGTTCAGTTTTGCAAATGAGAGTTCACTTTCGCAAGTTGGATGGTTCAAAATCAAGCTGGTATAATAATAATGCAATTTATAACGCGCGCAAATTTGCGGATGTAACGGCCGCAACTCAAAGGCGTGGAGCCAAGCTCAGAGTCTCTCGAAAGCGTGGTTGTAGAGGTGAGTTTTTAAGTGTCTCTTGAAGGAGACGATTGAAGTGATGCTGCGAATGTGCAGAGGGATTGCGTTCCAGACTGTTGGAGCAGCCACCGAGAAGCGGCGCATAGCCATGACCATCCGGGATCTTGGTATCAAGAGGAGGTCGTGAGTCGCACTGCGAAGGCATCTGTCGTGTGCTGTGCTGGAAGTTGTCAATAATGAAGAGAGGTACGGGGAGCAGGCAGATGTGAAGGCATGGGTGGCAGAGGCAGGCGATCTTGTATGTGACCCTGCTGGCAATAAGTAGCCAGTGGAGGGCACGGAGACAGGCAAGTGAGTCGAGATGGGGATGGGTGCGGCTAATGACGACACGTGCCAGGTTGTTTTGTAGTCTTTGAAGTTTTTTTAGGTTGCCAGAGGAGGACCGGACTAGGACGGAGTTGCAATAATCGAGGTTACACCCTACTATGCAACATGCCAATGTGTTGGCAGTTTCAGTGGAGATGAAAGGACGTAGGTATCTGAGAGCCTTCAGGTGAAAGTTACATGAAGTGATGATATTATTGGTTTGACGGTCGAAGGATAAAGTTGAATCTCGGATGACAGAGGTAGCTGAAGTGATCAGTGAACCTGATGCTGTGATCAAAGATGTGTATGTGTTTTGGGAGCGCTGATGAGTTGAGACGTTGCCTGGTACCTAACATGATGGCCACTGATTTTGACGGATTAAGGGCAAGGTTGTGTGCAGAGAACCACTGTTGCAAGGCAGAGGTGCATTCCGAGAGCCTCTCCAATCCAGATGCGTTGGTAGAATTGATGGCGGTGAACAGAATAGTGTCGTCCGCATATGAGTGGTGCTTAACACTGAAGCTTGCGATGAGGTGGCCGATCGGGGAAGTGTAGGCTGTGAACAACAGGGGACTGAGGGCGGAGCCCAGGGGGACGCCACAACGCTTTTGTTTCAGGAGATGTGGACGAGCCCACCCTGACTGAGGATTGCCGATCAGAAAGGTACGACAGTATCCACTTGAGTGCTGAGCCACATATACCGAAGTCGGATTTCAGGAGGGAAGTAAGGAGCGAGTGGTTGACGGTGTCAAAGGCTGATTAAATGTCCAGACTTACAAGTGCAACGATGGAGCCGGAGTCAATAATCATAAAAATGTCATCGAGCACTCTGGTGAGTGCTGTGTTTGTGGAGTAGTTTTGACGGTAAGCTGACTGGAAGGAGCAGTAATTTGGGGAGGAGGTGATGTGTGGTTTTAGCTGGGCGAGAGCGAGTCTTTCGAGGAGTTTGAGAGGTTCGAGAGATTAGTGATGGGACGATAACTAGACGGGTCATCAGGGTCGAGACTTGGTTTCTTTAACAGGGGGGTAACCAGGCCAGATTTGATGTTGGATGGAAAACACCCCATAGAGAATGAGGCATTTGCGATGTTCCTGATCATGATGGCGAGTTCCGGAGGACATTGCTTGAACAAGGAACCTGGGAGGACGTCGAGTGGAGATGACTTCATGTGAAGTGATTAAATCAAAGAGAAAACGTCTTTTGAAGACACCGGCTTCAACGTGGTTAGAAAGGTGTCTAGGTGATTGCATACAATTTCAGAAAACAGGAGCCGGGGTACAATTGTGCGATGTGAGGGAAGACGTGCAGGAGTTTGCGATGGTGATCAGCTTGTTGGTGAAGTAAGTTTTAAAAGAGTTGGCAAGTTTCAGTGAGGCCAGTGGATCGCTAAGATGAGGGACCATGGTGTTACCAGGGTGTAGAAGATCCTTGAGGGTTTTCCAAAGGATGCGTGGTTTTCCAGTAGCTCTTTTGATGCGCTCTTCAATGTAGGAGGAACGAGAGGCAAGGATAAGTTTGTTCGTTTTCCTGCAGGCTGCTCTGTAGGCAACTCGATCAGCAGGAAGACCACTGCAGGACGCGATCCTTTCAAGGCGCCTCCTGATTCTCTTAGCAAAGATGGCGTCTCTTGAGAGCCAGCGAGTGTCGTGGGAAGGCTGCCTCGTGGTTCGTGGTTTTAATGGTGCCATCTTGTCCAGCGCCGCCCTCAGGTCAGCTTCTAGTTGAAGAGCGCAGACAGTTCGCTCGGATGATGGGGATAACATTGAAGGCGAGTTTGCAAGGAGGTGCTGTAGAGTGGAATACATGATACCCCTGAAATTACGGGAGTGGCAGGTGATTTTGATGGTGATTGGCTTGGGAATTTGAAGGGAAAATAGTATGAGGTGGTGGTCGGAGTAACCAGTTTGGGAAACTCCCAGTGCAGTGATGCATCGATCCTCGTCAGGTTCCAGAACCAGGTCGAGCATACTCTCAACATTTGTTGAGGAAGCTCTGGTGGGGCCTGAGTTGGTGATGACCAGGTTATGGCAGGCCAAGGTTGACTCGAGGTGGCTATCAATGGAGGCTGGGGTATTGCCGGAGCAATTGAAGTCTCCAGTAAGCACGAGCCTGTGAGATGGGTTTGGAATGAGGTAAAGAAATTCGGAAAGCTCGTTTAAGAAGGTAGTGATGCTGCCATCTGGAGGGCGATCGATGGAAATAAGGGAAAAGCACTCGGTGTTAGTAGTGATGGACACGGACTGGACCTCAAAGGTGGCGGGAGCCATCGGTAGATAGAGCTCTTTAATTTTCAAGTGTGCATTGTAGACGACCGTTAAGCCACCACCCCACTGGTTAGTTGCGCGAGGTTTGTGAAGAACCTTGTATCCCAGGGGCGCGACTTCCAAAGAGATGGCTGGCGCAAAGTCTGGCCTGCACCAGGTCTCGGTAATAAGCAAAGGTCGATGTGGTGGTCCGAGATGATATCGTGAATCAGGGCTGATTTGTTGGTAATGGAGCGTGAGTAAAGTAGGCCGAGGCGCGGCGTCGAGAGGTCAGAGGAAATAGCTGGTTGAAGGTTGACCTGTGAACAGCGGCCCCTACCGCCTCTGCAACCACGGTGCCGATGCAGTCTCTGACGTTGACCTCTAAGAAGCCCGAGGCCAGAGAGCGTCCTCAGGAGTGCGGATTCCAGGTGCAGGTGATGAAGAGATGGTGCTTGTTGAAGCCCTATTATATCAGCCCATGCTGTACACGCCTACGTAAACACTCGTTGAGCATGTAAGCGGGCGGACACGACCACGCACGCGGCACATACAATGGAGCGGCCAGAAGAACACGAGGTCCAATGGAGTAGCTGACCACGCGCTATGCTCCAGCTCGCAGGTGATGCAGCCAACTATTGGGCGGCGGTTGAACTTACTACGCTCGGTCCGAACAGGCAGCTGGACATATGGACAGGTTTGTTCGTATCTCTGAAAGTTGTAAGTATAGGAGTCCCTGTACCATCAAATTACTCAAATGGGATTATGCATAACAGCAGCATCGCCCTCTACTGCAAAACAACTTGACACTCAACCTTTCCTCAGGAAACAAGCTGTTACCCCTGTTTGCCATTTCCCGCAGCTCCTCCCAGCTGGTGGACATCTTATTGGAGTTTGGTGCAAGTGTGACAACCTCGCACCTGGAGCTGAGTGTGAGGACAGGGCGGTGCCGTCTTCTCAGCCGCTTGCTGCAGAGTGGCTGTGCCCTACCCTCCACCTGCGATGCCGCGAGCCGCCTGTTCAGCCGGGAGGTGTGCGCTCGCTCTGGGAATGGACTCTACCGTCATTGGCTGCCACAGCTTCTGCTCGCTGGGTTTGACGTTCAACTGCTGCTCCGCTGCCCTGACCGGTAACATAGCCCTCCCCCTGAGCGCCATGGACACTTTTACGTTGAGAGGGAATAACGATGAAGATTTGTTTTTGATGTTGCACCTCTACGCCGGGCATCTTATCTGATCTGAACATATTTGCAAGGGCACCCCAGTGGCAACTGTCTTTTGGTCATAAGGTAACGAGCATTATTCATTAGCTGATGGTGATTCCTGTGTACAAATTTTAAACATTTGCAGGTAATGTTTAATTTGCCTACTTTTGCAAATGACGTCACGGAATCTTGTAATCCGTCTGTGAAGCAGACGGTGCTTAGCATTATGATTATCACTCCCACAGTATTCATTGGGGCGGCCTCTGCATTTGAACTGTGAACCTCTGCAACAAAGGGCGAACGCTCGACTGCGTGGACATTTCACCACCCGCAGTCCACAAGCATTGGGTTAAGCAATCCTGATTGCTGGTGAGACACTCATTGTCGAAACCAGTCTACAATTGTATTGCATTGAACCACTGCTCCTGAAAATATTCACTCCCAGAAGGCTGTGCGGCTAAATGGGATGTGTAAATTTAAACCAAGTGTGGAGAGACAAATACAGGAAGAGGCGTTTAATTATAAACACGAGCTTTTTTGCCCATCCTAGGACAGAAGCTGTAATATTTATGAAGCATTGAGCAGAGTGTAATTGTATCTTGTGTAAATTTAATGGCAGTGAATCTTGCACGAAAGTATGTCATCAAAAACTTCACTGCATTTCACTGTAGCACTATATTAATAGAAGTGAATCTGGCATAAAACGAAGTCATAAAACACTTCACAGCAGTTCACTGTAGCACTATTAATGCCAGTGATTCTTGCACAAAACTACGTCATAAAACACCTCACTTAATGTCACTGTAGCACTGTATGTAACTGACCTTCAATTTGTTCAAATTCACTGCTCTGATACTTTATTCTCTTCTGCTTTCGGTCGCTGGGGTTGAAATAAAATGGAAATCGATACAATATCTGGAAAATCACCGAGAAATGTCTATTTTACCATAATGTAGAAGCATTAATTAGACTTACATTTTGTCTGAAGTGCTGAAGAAATAAAGACACCAAATCCATTTTGTTGCTGCGTAGAATTATTTATTAGATTCACTTTCAATAAAGAAACGTCAAACTTAAAGTGAATTTGCGAAAAAAAAACATTTCTTTACACTCGACCTTCTTCTGCGTGAATGTAAAAATCCACCCGCTCATGAATATTAATGACGGGGGGGGGGGTGCGGCATGTGGAGTGATGTCACGTGCGGGACACAAACAGACATTCTTGGCTCATTATAGTAGTAATTCTCCACAAGGACGGTTCATTAGTCTGTGATGTAATTATGATGATATAAAAGAGCACACCGTTATTTTTGAGTTGTAACTTATTTTTATATAAAACCAAATATGAGGGCATACGTTAATGCAGTCACCTGAAACCTGATACATTACTCGTGTACTTGACTTTTCTCTGAACTGATAACGGGATGGTTTTCAGTGTAAAATCACCCCTCGTTTAATGTTCTACTTTTGAACAACATTGCATGAATGCTTTGGTGACTTGTGCTCTCATTGTGTGGCTACAGGGTGGTGATTCTAGACATGGGCGCCTTGACCTTCTGTTTGGAGTTTACAGATCACCGCAATTCGGATGTGTCGTGCATTGGAAATCATCCACTCCCAGGAGACACTGACAGAGAACTTCAACACAAGTTTGGTAATGCGCTATTTGTCATGTACACTTGGAGTGGCTGGGTGTCAGAGTTTAGCAAAGGTTCCTCTACCATTGACCATGTACATACCATGGAATAGACCGATGAAAATGAATTACCATTCTGGCTAGGATTTTTAAGACTGAAAAAGCATCAGACTGTAGAATGTATGCAGTCATCTAAGTGCATACTCAAGTTAGAGTCTTCATATTGACTGTTAGGAAAAGTGGTGGTGAGCTGTTAACTACCTCGCCTGGTATGCAGGAGGTTGTGGGTTCGATCCCAACCCTGACACCTGCATATTTGAAGTGTGCATGTTTCTCTGCCTGTGGTCACATTGCTTTTTTGCCACGTTCTCCATTTTTTCACTCCACATTTAGAATCAACATGCGTTTAGAGTATTTGGTTACTAAAACTCTGCACATTATATGCCAATTTGTTGGCATTTGTGGCCAGGTAGCTTTTGAAAAAGAGCTATATAGTTCAGTGGGCCTTACCTGGTAAAATAAAAAAAATGTTTTAACAGAGTGGGCTTGGGCGGGACACGATGGCCGGTGGGCAAGAATAACTACTGAGTGGGAGCCAAAGGGGTGCATGCACCCAAGAGGATGTCCACAGTGGAGATGGGAGCAATGAGATCAGCTGGAGCACAGGTGCTGGGTGGTATGTTGCATTGTGAGACAGTGAAGGATGGAGATTTCTTGGGGAGGCCTTCATCCAGCAGTGGATTGATCGTGGCTGATGATGTGTGATGAGATCAGTTGATCTTATTGTTTACTACACAATAATCTTAGAATCTTTGTTTGTGAATATGACCTAAGATCTCTCTTGAAAAATATACTTTTTATGTTCATCAACTATCGCTTTGTAAAATATGAAATACATAATGGACATTGGATAACTGTGAAGTGAATATATGAATTTTGCAGTAACTATTCTAGGACCCAGATCTAACAGAGACGGTCCTTTTGAGACGTAAGTTTTTGCGACCAATATTATTCATAATAAAGGTTTTTTTGGGTTAGATTGTGTAAGTATACATGTGTTGTTTACCCGCCACAACCTGACAGAGCCAACAGTAAGGTTTGTCACGTAAAAAAAATGTGCCAAATAGCTACAACTTCAGCCCACCAGTGTAAATGTTGTTAATTTACTTCAACACACATTTATACTTATGCGATCTAACCGAAAACACCTTTATTATGAGAGAGGGTCCTTACCTATAACATCTGGCAGTTAACCAGCACTCATGCAAGCAAGCCTGACTACTGATGAGAACACGGATTGTCAAAACCGGTCCAGTGCTTTGGTTGAAGCAATGCTGCTCGAATGGTGCACCCCTAGAAGGCTGTGTTTATGATGGCATGTGTAAAAAGTACTTGCGTTGATTTTAAGGGGGTGACAGATGTTTGAAGGTGACAGCTTGTCATCTGCTTTGAGTGCAGAGCGCCCCGCCGCCCTGCGCCACCTATGCCGCCTCCGCCTGCGGCTCGCGGTTGGGGATCGCAGACTTCGAGCGCAGCGCGGCGGTCAGGATTGGACCTGCCACCTGCCGCTACCGACCAGCCTGCGGGAGTTTTTGCTCTATCGCGACGTCCTCGCAGCTCATGGGATACCTGATCCAGATGCCACTTCTGGCGACGAAGAAGAGCGATCGGACTTTGATCGGACTACATGAGACACTTGCAGTAATAGCTCAGTGTGCAGTGGCCTATTGGGGTATTCTGAAAGTAGTGTAACAGTGACGCGCATGCCACGATGAAACTTACAAGTTGACTCGCTTGTACAAGGCTTGTGAAGAGGTCTGCACTTGGATGAACTTGATGAGGTCGTGTTTTCGAACTAGAAACTCGATATGCTTGTCAACAACACTGGCCTGAAAAAAAAGTACGCAAAAATTAGCACGTGAAGAGTGTCATTTCACAAAACGTCGCTGATTTTATATGCTTTAAAGGCATTGTTGATGAAGAGTGTGGTGTTATTTGTGCTTGTGCTCAACTGCCAACACAGCAGCATCACTAAATAATTTAATTACACAACTAGGCTTGCCGCGATGTAGTGTTTTTGATTAATATTGTTATATTGTCATCGTTCACTCGTTTTAGTTTTCCTTAAACAAAAATTCTTCTGAAATAAAACGTAACTATTTGATTGATAACTATGCAGAACATATGCATGATATCAATACTTTGAAAACATTTCCAGAGTAATTTGTCGTGGCAATTGAGCTTCATGGAGTTTAAAGACTGTTTTTCAGGAGGGTACTGCCACATTGGGATCTTTGGCCAATTCCAGTCGTGAGAGTTTGGCTTTTTTTGGGAGGAATCTGGAGAACCCAGAGAGAAACAGCCCACAGAGGAGGAAGGGGAGGGGGTGACACTCGATGCAGTTTAGAGAGAATCGAGAATCCACTACTGTGCTTACATCTCTTGTCTGCCTCGCAGCCACATCCAACATGACAGCACCTGCCAGTCCAAAGCAGTGTCCCAGTCAAGTACTAATCAGGCTCACTACATTTTACTTACTTTATCAGAATATGCTGCAGGAGGAATCCGATGAGCTATGAAGCTCTTCATCACAGATCAATATGGGGTAAGAATATTACAACAACAAACAATACAAAAACATGATAGTGCAAAGTACAAGAAAGGTAAACGAATCACCAAAACACATTCAAATAAAATGAAACCATCCCCATCCTACCAGGCAAAGCCCACTGAGGTATTAACTTGTTTTTCACAAGCCACCTGGCCACAAATGATATTTTAATAAAGTAGCGTATCGTTTGGACATTTATAGCAGCAGAATAATATAAATAATCTCAATGCATGTTTCTAAACATGGAGGGAACAACAGGTGGCGTGGAGAAAAATACACGCGACCACAGGGAGAGAGACATGCAAACTCCAGCAGGCGTCAGGGTCGAGATCGAACACCCGACCTGCATACCAGGTGAAGATAACTGAAAGCGCGGTGTGATGTGTTCGCATATTGTGTTCCATGAGTACGAGCCTTCCAAAACCCTAACAACATACCACTCACGCTAGCCTCTCCCTGCCCCTCACCTTTATATCGCATGAAATGTAGTTTATTTCTGTAACTATTGTGGTAACTTTGTATTGATCACTTTTCAATTGTGCCTGTGTTGTTTCGTATTATCTATACTCTTTGGTTCTTTCGGTAAAGTCACGTAGGTATAAAATAAATCACAACGTTTCGATTGCAACACAAGCAATCATCATCAGGTGGGAAAACCACAGCAAGAAAATGTTTTTGCTGAAGTGGGAGAGAGATGCCGTGGTAAGAGGTTATATAAGTAAGAGAGGGGCAAGGGGTGAGAGAAAGGGGGTAGGGGAGCGTTGCGTGGACGCTAGGAGAGGGCCGTGAAGCTGGACGGAGGGAATTGGGCGGGGCTGGAAGTGGGAGGCCGCGAGAGCTGGGGATGCGGGGGGGGGGGGGGGGGGTTAACTCAGAAAAATAGGCCAGTACCCGGACCCGGCAGATATGATAGAAAGCAGTTAGGGTTTCAACTGGTTAATAACATCTTTCCAACGATTGCTCAATTTGTATCTATCTTCTCGGTTGAAGTTATGTTTTTATATCTGGATGGCTTCATGAACAAACCTTTGATAGTAGCCCGAAGGTTTGTAGAGTACCTTGGTCTTGGAAAACAATATCACGTGAGCCCACAGCGTTATAGCAATGGTCAGCTGAGGTATTGGTTCTGCTGTGTTTCAGATCTGCCTTGTGTTCGCGGACACGGTCCGAGACATGTCATTTTGTTTCCCCAATGTAATTGCTGCCGCAGGTACAACTCAGTTTGTACACTTCAGGATATTGCATGTCAGGGATGACATCCTTCACAGATGGGATTAGATCACGGATTTTGTGTACTGTATTGAATCGGACCTGGATCTTGTGTTTGTTTAAGATTTTGGAAATATTTTTGGTAACACCTCCCTAACATGATGGTTTTGATTGGCTTCTCAGGGGGTTTCGCCATAGTTGGAGAAACAGCTTTGCGAATAATGCGGTCAGAGTACCCATTCATCTTGAGGGCCTGGTGTACGTGTTCCAGTTCACTGGCTACGTGGTGTTGGTCGGAAATGCAGTGGGCCCTATGGTTTAGTGTTTTGATAAGGGAATTCTGTGCCGGATGGTGGTGGGAATCAGGTTTCGGATAGGAATCCGTGTGGGTGGATTTCCTGTAGACAGTGTCCCAACGAGCCGTCAGGTCTCTTCTCAAACAAAACATCCAGGAAAGGTAGCTTACCATCCTTCACTTCCATGGTGAATTTGATGGATGGGTGTATGGAATTGATGTGGTTGAGAAATTGGTTCAAAGCTGGCAGGCCATGTGGCCAAATGACGAAAGTGTCATCTACATATCTCTTCCACAAGGAAGGACGTAGGGTGGATGTCTAGATGACATGTTTCAAATTTCTCCATGAAAACATTCGCTATCACTGGTGATCAGGAGGAACCCATGGGGGTACCTTAATTTTGTTTGTAGAAAGTACCATTCCAGGTGAAGTAAGTGTTGGTAAGGCAGTGCCTAACCAGAATAGGTAAATCAGGATTCAGTCCATGTTGGACTAAGTCTTCAATTATTGCTAAGGTGTCAGGTACAGGAACCTTAGTGAACAGGGAAACTATATATATATTTCTTTTTTTACCGAGAGAACCAAGAATATAACTCAATCTATGTTAGTGTATGAGTCTGTGTACGTCTGAGTCTATATGTGAGTCTATGGTTTCTGAGTGAGTCAGTGGGTTTAATTGCAACTCAGTCTATGTGAGTATATGGGTTCTGTATGTCAGCCTGAGTCTCTGTGAGTCAGTGGGTCACAATGTGAGTCAGCCTAATTGGGAGTCGGTGGGTCTCTTTATGAGTCTATGGATCTATGTGTGAGTCAAAGGGTTTAATGACAACTCAGTCTCTGAGTCTATGGTCTCTTTGTAAGTCTATGAGTATCTGTGTGAGTCACTGTGTCTCTAAGTCTGTGGGGCTTTCTGTAAGACTATGGGTCTCATTTGTGAGTCAATGGATTACTTACAACTTAGTCTATATGAGTCTGGGCCTCTTTGTAAATCAATGGGTTTAACCACAAATCAGTCTATGTGATTATGTGGGTCTTTATGCGAGTATATGGTTATCTATGTGAATAATAGGATTATTGTAGCGCGGGTAGGGGGATAGTGGGCGGGGGTAGCGGCCCAGCTCCCAGCCTCGGCCAGCTGGAAAATCTGGGCGAGGCCGGGGGCTCTGCACGGGACTAGACCTCACCACGGCACTCTGTCAGGTGAGTACTTTGTGCTATAGAGTCGATATATACTGCTACTAGCGGGAAGTACCCGGCGTTGCCCGGAGGAAAATTTTATTTTAAAACTTTAAAATATAACATCTACAAATGAAAATAAAACGTTTATCATTACCTCATTGATTAAAAATAAAATAAAACCCAACGCACGGAAAACAAAACTTACGGTCGCGCGCCAAGATTCGATTATTTAAACAGCGCAAAGGGATCGAAGGTTATCGATTTCTTTAGAATCGTCCTATTCCCATTTAATCGATACCACAAACGCTCACCAGATATCGATCCTCGCCAGTCCTGTATGCGGGTTGACGCCACACACTTCATCATGGTCATTTCCACCCCCCCCCCCCCCCTAAAATACAAAAGTATTATTTCATACTTTTTACATTGTGTACAGTCCGGAAGCTACCCACATGCCAAATTTCAAGTTTGTTGCATGTCGGGAAGTATGCTTAACATTTCGAAAATACACATTCACAAATGTCCGTTTTATATATATAAAAATATCCAGTATTGCCCCCCCCCCCTCCCCCCAGAATGTACTACTGTAGTGATTGGCACCACCACAGTCAGGTTGCACTGCTGTAATAGCAGGTACCACCACAGTCAGTATGCACTGCTGTAATCAATGCAGGTACCACTGTCAGTATACACTGCTGTAATCATAGCAGGTACCACAGTCAGTATGCACTGCTGTAATCATAGCAGGTACCACCACAGTATGCACTGCTGTAATCATAGCAGGTACCACCACAGGTTGCACTGCTGTAATCATAACAGGTACCACAGTCAGTATGCACTGCTGTAATCATAGCAGGTAACACCACAATATGCACTGCTGTAATCATAGTAGGTACCACCACAGTCAGTATGCACTGCTGTAATCATAGCAGGTACCACAGTCAGTATGCACTGCTGTAATCATAGCAGGTACCACCACAGGTTGCACTGCTGTATTCATAGCAGGTTCCACCACAGTATGTACTGCTGTAATGATAGCAGGCACCACAGTAAGTATGCACTGCTGTAATCATAGGTACTACCACAGTCAGTATGCACTTCTGTAATCATAGCAGGTACCACCACAGTATGTACTGCTGTAATCATGGCAGGTACCACCACAGTCAGTACGCACTGCTGTAATCATAGTAGGTACCATCACAGTCGGTATGCACTGCTGTAGTTAAAGCAGGTACCACCACAGTCAGTATGTACTGCCGTAGTGATAGTCGATACTGCTATCGAGTTGGTAGATACTAAAACAGGCATTATATACCACTACAATCAGTAATTACTGCTACAGTAAGTACTACTATACACTCAGTAGATACTACGACGGTGAGTAGCTCCTAGAGTCAGTGGATACTACTATAGAGTCAGCATATACTACTATACTACTTTACAGTCGGTAGATACTACTGTAGGGCCAATAAATACTACTACTACTACCGTCAGTCGTTACTGCTACAGTCAGTAAATACTACTAAACAGTCAGTAGCTACTACTGGCTCAGTAGATACTACTGTACAGTCAGTAGATGCAACTACAGAGTCAATATATACTGCTTACTCTATTGTAGGTAGGGTATGTAGGCATAGATACCTACGGGGGGTAAATATATTTTTTGACGGGGGGGTCGACTATTTTCGGTAACCTTTGAGATCAACTATTTACCCCCCCACTTTCTATAACTTTTTGGACTTCTGCAAGCCTCTTATAATTTTGTTGGTGGAGAAATGGACAAACGGTCCACTGGGCTTTCACAATACCTTAGTATCTGTGTATGTATATGCAAAGTTTTTTAGAGAAGTTTTGAAATGAAATTTTCGCCCGGGCAACTGCGGGTACTTCCCGCTAGTCTTCTTATATATATAAAA